CACTGGTGTGTTATCAACACCTTTCTATCTACCAATACAAAGCACAGCACTATGAGGGCTGCTATGGGGAAAATTAACTCCATCTCAGCCAGACCCAATACAACACGTTCCTAAAGTCATATGTAAAAACAAGCAATGAAGCTGGGATATTAAAACCTCATTCTAAAACTACCAGCCAGGTGACTACTTGGTTACAAGTCTTGAAAACTTGACACAACAGGCAGCAAAATTAGCATAAGATCTCTGCAGGGAGGAATCCTACCTCTCCACTGACAGAAACATCCCATGGGTGCTAGAACCAGCAGCAGTGAATTCCTCTCAGTGAAGAAGATGGCCTGTAGATCTATGAATCATGAACATGTTGTCTCATGACTTGGTCAGGCTTCACATTCAGCAGCTCCTCCTGCTGCTACACACAGAGCCCTCGTAGCTCTGCAGAGAAATGGGTATACACTTAAAAGCATTAAGCCTGCCATAGCACACTAGTTTTATTTCTATGGGAGAACAGAGCTAAATTTGCCAGTTTATGGCCTTATTTCTACTTATGTTATAAATGGTTTCTCCTTTGAAAATCCTAAGGTAAGCAAAGCTTTTATTTTTTAAGACTCTCATCTGAATCTGGGGCCACGCTAGTGCTCTTATTTCATGAAAGGTCCTCCTGTCTGGCCTATAGCTTAAATACAAGAACTGTGTAGGCTTTAGTAGATTACATTAGATTAGCATATCATCATTACCTAAGGAGACCCAATCATACAAATCTCCTTACAAAAGGAGTCTTAATTTGGAGCTTTTCTCAGGGCTAAGTTGATGCTTTGGAGACTAATTTGACAATATCTTCATTTAAGCTGCTGCAGAAGTACTTCTTACTCTACAGCTTGGATTATTCAGACGATAATGTCCCAACTGATCATGTAAATGAGAGGACAGTAATCTTTGGCTCCCACAGATACACAAAGCAAATGTATTATCAATGTAGGCAATTGTCATCCCCTCCAAACAGGATATGGCTGAAATTCTTCCAACTGTTTGATTCATTAGAAGGAAAAATCATTTTTTAAAAAATTGAAAATGTGGTAGCTTTGACCAATTACTTGCCACCTAAAAACAGAAATTGAGGCCAGTAGAAATTACTGTTCTTGTAGCATGGTTTTTTGTCAGATGGAATCAGGCTCTCAGACAATGCTCAAGGACATTTATTATACCTCTGTTATTTTAAGGTCTCCAGTAAACTGTGGCAGACTCCATAATAGCATGAGACTAGCTTTAAAGTTAAAAACATAATGGACTTAATAAAAGGATACCCTTTTATTTGTCTTCCAATTCTTGTAACCTTAAAGTTAATTTTAAAGTTCTTTTCCAAAAGCAACAAAATTATGTTTTTAAGAAAAGCTGAACTTCTGACAAATTGCTAGGTCCTGAATCTTTCAAATGTGAATGTCCTTGTTAGTTAACTTAATTAACTTTGGCCTTGAGTCCAAAAATGTTCTTTTTTTAAATTACTATCTCGAATCATCTATCTTTTTAGCCTACTTTCACTATGGGAACTGGTTTATAAGGATTCAGAATGAGTTTTCTGATAGTAAAACAGAAGTTGATGCAGTCCTATCCTAGGACAACTCTTGCATTTGGAAGTCCTTTCTTGCTATTC